GGGGGGGAGTAGTATATTTTTATCAGTGATCTAGTACACATCATTCTCTGCCTTGTCTATACCTGGTATGTACAACCCATGGGTCACTACTCCACGCTGGGGCAGAAGACAATGAGAGAGACTCTTCCACTGCAAGCTATTATTATAATCCATGGACATGTGCGGGAGCTTGTATCCCCTGACGTAATGATGATGCATGGTGGGAGAGTAGTCCCCACATGCTATTACAATGGTGGGTCCAAAAGATTAATGATATGTTGGCACCTCTGGACTCCAGACACCAACTCCAGACACCAACTTCCCCGTGCCTCATTGGATGGAGGTTGTCCATCTCACCAGTGGACATCCATCTTCCCAGTGCTGCGTTGGATGGAGGTTGTCCATCTTACCAGTGGACATCCATCTTCCCAGTGCTGCGTTGGATGGAGGTTGTCCATCTTACCAGTGGACATCCATCTTCCCAGTGCTGCGTTGGATGGAGGTTGTCCATCTTACCAGTGGACATCCATCTTCCCAGTGCTGCGTTGGATGGAGGCTGTCCATCTTACCAGTGGTCATCCATCTTCCCAGTGCTGCATTGGATGGAGGTTGTCCATCTCACCAGTGGTCATCCATCTTCCCAGTGCTGCGTTGGATGGAGGATGTTTATCTTACCAGTGGACATCCATCTTACCAGTGCTGCGTTGGATGGAGGTTGTCCATCTTCCCAGTGCTGCATTGGATGGAGGACATCCATCAAATGGACTTGCATCTTCTGAGTGCCTCATTGGATGGAGGATTCAGGAGGAGGGTGGCTGGCAGTGGCCAAATAAATTAGTGCAGCTTGGGCACCTTAAAATATTGGGGTGTGCTGCTGATGTTCTGCTAATTTTGGGGTCCTGAAAAGGTTGAGTACCTCCGCACCATACAATGGCCAATGGGTGCCCCCGTGGAGCCTCCCTGTGCAGCACCTTTTAACTATTAAATGACCGCATGGTGCCCTACAGGTATAGATTTCCTGTGATTTAATGGGACAACTTATGATAACCCCCCTCCCCCCACACACACACCCCACACACCCCACACACATGCACACACACGCGCACCACACACTGCACACACACACACACACACGTACGCACACACACAAAGTTCTCATTGTGTTGTCATGATGTGAAGACAGGAAGATGATTTGATGACTCCTCATTTCAGGTGCCCCGCGGGGTATTCAGGCCTCTCCTGCGAGGTTTGTTCCCCACAGTTTGAGCGCGTTCCTGGAGGACCTTTCCTGGGCACCTGCTCTGGATGCAACTGCAATGGCCACGCCAGATCCTGCGACTCTGAGAGCGGCTACTGCATAGTAAGTGACACGTGGCCTCAGTAGGTGAAGGTCACCACTTCCTGCAGGTGGCATACCACGGCTCTGGCTGTGTTTGGGATTGTATGATTTGGGGTGCCGTGATGTACAGGCCAGGCATTCTGCAGGCTCATTGCTGTCTCTGGACTCAAGTGACACGAAGCCGCAGTCCTACCCAACCTTCAGAATGAATACTGTGAAGGTTCTCCTATATCCAGGTCATAGTAGAGCTTGTAGTCGTCAATCATATTAGACTGGACATGTCCTCGTGGCCTCCTCGGCTCCTAGGAGTGTTAGGACATAGCTCGGTATTTACATCTACACGGATCACTCCATCACCTTCATCCAGACCCCATGAGGCCATACAAATTGTCACCCCCGGCTATGTGATTGATGGAGCCGCGGTGATTGGATTGTGAAAATAGAACGGGGACGTTCCCATCATGTTCCTGGACGTCTGCCTTGGCACCTTCCGTGGTGATTGGATGGATGTGATGGAGGGTCCTGTGTGGATATATATGGCGGGGGGTGTTCTGATGAGTGATGAAGCCTCTATAACATGACAGGACAAGTCCACGTGGATGTGACTTCTACCGGCCAATGTTCTGGTGGGTTCCAGAACCATGAAAGTGCATGGAGGGACCTTTCTTACTTGATCACGGTTGCAGTGTTGGCTGATGGAGGGTATTGTTGGGGTGAACGCTCAGAATTGTGTTTCCTCCTCTAGAACTGCCAACACAACACGGAGGGGCCGCAGTGCAACAAATGTAAGGCCGGCTTCTTCGGAGACCCCACTAAAGGAACGGCCGATGCCTGCCGACCTTGTCCGTGCCCTCTGATGGACCCGACACGCAGGTGAGCCGCCACCGACATGTGTACGGTGTAATGAGATGATTGTGTGATGTTCTGATCCCTCACGTCTGGTCTCCTGCTCCCCACTCCAGGTACTCGGACACGTGTTTCCTGGACACAGACAGTCAGCCAACATGTGACAACTGTGCCGAGGGTTACACCGGGCGGCGTTGTGAGAGGTAACGCCCATCTCACGTGTATTGCTTTGTCTGTCTGGATATTTCAGTGCCATATCCGGTGTTTACGCGGCACGTTGTATGATGACGGTGCGCTCTTCATTCCAGGTGTGCGGTCGGGTACGAAGGTGACCCAATGAGACCTGGCGGGCGATGTGTGAAAACCAACGGTTAGTACTGACTCCTCCCCCTCTGCGAATGGACCTCCTCCTGACTCCGCCGCCTCTCCCGACAGACCTCCATTTTGTGCGGACGTTACTGGTGCCGCGTCTCATATAAAACGAGTCTGGAGGTCAGAGAAGCATTTGGTGCCGTTATGTGATCCCGGCGCCGCCCTGAAATGCGTCGCCTCACCGCCGCAGCCCTGAGATTTCCTACAACTGACCAACGTCTCGCATGTTCCTTCTCTGCAAAATGGCACCCAAAAGGCCCCGTGTGGCCGAATCGCACCGAGACGTCCCATTTCCTGTCTGTGTGATTGGCTTCTCAGAGCTGGAAGTCAGCTTGGAGGCATCCCCTGCATCAGGCATTTCCTTTTATCATAGTAAATGATGTAGAAGATCCTTTTATTACAGCAGTGAGATTGTTCACAGGTGGTGATAACGAAGGAACGTCCTGGGCAGTGTGCCGCTGTACTTCTATAGAGAATCTTTCATAGAACATTTATCTGTACAGAAATAAAATGGATCCTTTTGTTTTGTGTACTGATCGCTGTCTGTATCCCGCAGCCGCCGACACGGGAATATGTGATGATCGGGGCAGCGCCGTCTCCTCTTCGAGTGCTTGTGTATGTAAGGTGAGCGGCTGTCCGTTCCCGGGACACAGGATATTTACTACTGGATTTCCCCATCACTTCCTGTCCTGGAGACACACCCGGAAGTGGGAGGAAATCTACCTAAACTGATGGAATTCTCTGTCACCGAAGAGGTGTCCCCATTAGGAGATTTCCCCTCTGTTGGTGACTCGTGGCCGACGCTCTTTGTTTCCTTCTCTTCCTCAGCCTCACGTCTCAGGGAAGTTGTGCAATGAATGTAAAAGTGGAACTTTCTACCTCAGCGAGCGGAACCCGGACGGCTGCTTGAAGTGCTTCTGTATGGGAGTGACGCGGCAATGTTCCAGCTCCTACTGGAACCGGCACCAGGTACTGATTGTCCACAAGGGGGGGATGTCATGAAGACGTCTCAGGACTCTGACATTGATCAATGACCTTTGCTTCCATTCATTGTATGTTCTCCATTGTTCTACAGGTCCGCGCAACGTACGGCAGCCACGAGAGGGCGCCATTTTCCATCACCAATATTGCCAGCACCACCACAATCCGTGAGGGCATCAGCGTGACGAGTCCATCAGAGCTGACATTTGGCTCCTTCAACAATATCCCCCAGGACACCTACTTCTGGGTGCTGCCGGAGAGCTTCAAGGGAGACAAGGTAAGATTCGTGGGGGCACTGAGAGGGACAAGAATGTAGATTGTGGTGAATGTTTCCCAATGTGACACTCAACCTCATCTTCCAGGTCACATCATATGGTGGGGAACTGCGCTACACCATCACCTATGAGGCCACCTACGGGGCCCAGTCTCTGGATACCCAGCCTTACGTCGTTCTCCAGGGAAATGGCATCTTCCTGGAACATTACGCTGATGTCAGAAGTTCTCCTGGATTCCCCATCACCATCACCGTTCCCTTCCGAGAGGTAAGACGAAACCTCCCCAATGGTGGAGATGTAAGTCAGCCCAGAAATCCACATTAGATGAATAAATGTTCTGAGAAGATGATCCAGCTGGGTTATGGTGAGGAGGCACCAAGGAAGTGACCTCTTCAATGATGGGACATTACGGCCGGGTTATGGGGAGGAGGCACCAAGGAAGTGATCTCTTCAATGATGGGACATTACGGCTGGGTTATGGGGAGGAGGCACCAAGGAAGTGAGCTCCTTAATGATGGGACATTATGGCTGGGTTATGGGGAGGAGGAACCAAGAAAGTGACCTCCTTAATGATGGGACATTACAGCTTATTTATGGGGAGGAGGCACCATGGAAGTGAACTCTTCAATTTTGGGACATTACGGCCGGGTTATGGTGAGGAGGTGCCAAGGAAGGAAGTGACCTCATCAATGGTGGGATATTACGGCCGAGTTATGGTGAGGAGATACCAAGGAAGTGACCTCTTCAATGATGTGACATTACGGCCGGGTTATGGTGAGGAGGTGCCAAGGAAGGAAGTGACCTCATCAATGGTGGGATATTACGGCTGAGTTATGGTGAGGGGGCACCAAGGAAGTGACCTCTTCAATGATGGGACATTACGGCCGGGTTACGGTGAGGAGATACCAAGGAAGTGATCTCTTCAATGATGGGACATTATGGCCGGGTTATGGTGAGGAGATACCAAGGAAGTGACCTCTTCAATGATGGGACAATACGGCTGGGTTATGGTGAGGGGGCACCAAGGAAGGAAGTGACCTCTTCAATGATGGGACAATACGGCCGGGTTATGGTGAGGGGGCACCAAGGAAGGAAGTGACCTCTTCAATGATGGGACATTACGGCTGAGTTATGGTGAGGCGGTACCAAGGAAGGAAGTGACCTCTTCAATGATAAGACATTACGGCTGGGTTATGGTGAGGTGGTACCAAGGAAGGAAGTGACCTCTTCAATGATGGGACATTATGGCCGGGTTATGGTGAGGGGGCACCAAGGAAGTGATCTCTTCAATGATGGGACATTACGGCTGGGTTATGGTGAGGTGGTACCAAGGAAGGAAGTGACCTCTTCAATGATGGGACATTATGGCTGGGTTATGGTGAGGAGATACCAAGGAAGGAAGTGACCTCTTCAATGATGGGACATTACGGCTGGGTTATGGTGAGGTGGTACCAAGGAAGGAAGTGACCTCTTCAATGATAGGACATTATGGCCGGGTTATGGTGAGGCGGTACCAAGGAAGGAAGTGACCTCTTCAATGATGGGACATTACGGCTGGGTTATGGTGAGGCGGTACCAAGGAAGTGACATTACTTATATCGGAAGATCTTTACACACCATTAGCAGTTTTAGGGTCACCAATGTGCCGGAACATTTCCAATTGTCATCCTGTCTGTGCATTGTAATTTAAGGGCCGGTAAAGAAGATCACATCTAATATACAATTTCTATTCATGGCAGCGTTTCTGGCGGAGGACAGATGGTCAGGATGCTACACGTGAGCACTTGCTAATGGCTCTGGCAGATATTGATGTTCTGATGATCCGGGCGTCGTATGCGGACAGGATGGTGGAAAGTCGGTAAGGGGCCGGTGTCATCGTACGGTAGAGATGTAACCTTGGGGTCCCCATGTATTCACTCTCTGTCTCTCCTCAGAATCTCCAATATCTATATGGACATCGCCGTTCCTCACTCTACGGGCCTGCAGCAGGCGGTGGAGGTGGAAGACTGTGCCTGCCCCATCGGCTACACGGGACCATCATGTCAGGTGTGTGGGGACTGTGTACCTAGCTTTGTGAATTGAGATCTACCGGTAGGCTCCATGCTTCTTCTCGGGCAGTAAGCTTCATCTTCTTGTCTGGACTTCCTGCAGGACTGTGACATTGGCTACACGCGATCTACCAGCGGTCTATATCTGGGCACATGTGAGCGCTGCCAGTGCAGTGGCCACTCTACAGAGTGTGACGGGGAGACGGGAGAGTGCCTGGTACGTTTCGGTTATATCAGTTTTCTACATGTCACCCGTTGTATCTGAATGAGCTGATCTGTAATCATTCGTCTTCCAGAACTGCCAGCACAACACTGAGGGACCCAAATGTGACCGCTGCAGACCGGGCTTTTATGGAGACCCAAGACGTGGAAGTCCCGGAGATTGCCAGCCTTGTCCATGCCAGGGCACATCAAGCCAGTAAGTTGGGGTTTCCTACAGTGGTCAGCCAGTGGGAGTTCTTCTAACTGCTAATCTTCCTTCAGGAATGGATTGGTTGCCAAGAGCGACAATGCTCGTCCCTTTCCTCATTTATTATACATACGGCCCATTGTGACCATACAGACGTTGTCTCGTGCTTCGGCGGGGGTCCAGAAACGGGTCTTACATGTGTCGTTGTCTTTGTCCAGGTACTATGGAACATGCTTCTTGGACTCCGATGGCCAGCCAACATGTGACTCTTGTCCCTCTGGTTACCTTGGACGCCAGTGTGAAAGGTAAACGGCATCCATCAAGCTTTTATCTTCAGTACCCCGGGAGAGAGCTCATGGTAGCTGCAGGCAAATGGTTGTCATCGTGACAATGAGGATTCAGTCTCAGGCCTCGTTCACACCTGAATGTTTTGTAGCGCGTTCTACGCTCGACGAACGCTCTACAAAACGCTCAAACATCTAAATCCCATTGTATTCAATGGGTCTAATTCCCACCTCGGCGTATTTCCGGCCGTCCCTAACGCGCTACAAAACGGCCCACGCCTGAAAAGGTACAGGTACTACTTTGGGCCGTTTTTGTTGCGCGTTTCCATTGGGATACAGCCAAGTAGCCCTCGGAAACGCGCGTTTGTCACGCGATTTTTTTACCGCGAATCGTGGGACAGACGCGCATATGCAATACGCCTAGGTGTGAACAAGACCTCAGGCTTATCCCCGAATATGTACTAATATGTCATATCTCATACAATGTGAGGCTGATGTTTTGTCCCGTGAAGACCCAATGATAAGAATATTCATCAGAACATTATCATTCCAGGTGTGCTCCGGGTTACCAGGGAGATCCATCTCGAGGACAGCCCTGCACAGGTACGATCCTGGCCCCATATTACTCTGTCACAGCACACGTTATACTCCGAGGGGGCCACTTATTGGATGACGGAAATACTTACAACATGTTTGGTAACAAAGTTGGAGAACTTTAGAGACTTTGTGTGTAAAATTTGATTTCATCATGGTCAAAATTTGGAAAAAATGGAGAAGCGGAAGGAGATTGATGACGTTGACATTGGACATTCACTGATGTTTCTGTTCTCACCTTTTAATAAATCGGGTTCTTTATCTCTGCTTTCCAGCAGGTCCAGGTCCCGGTCCCGTTCCGAGCTGCCAGTGTGATCTGAGGGGCAGCATCAGTAACACATGTGATGCCCGCCGCCAGTGCCCATGTAAAGTAAGTATGAGCGCCTGTACCGGAATCCCTTTCCTGCTGTCACATGACTGGGCCTCACCCCTCTCTCTATTTCTTCCAGGCTCATGTAGAGGGATTGTCATGCAGCACCTGCCGCCCCAACCATTTCTACCTCAACGTGGACAATCCAGATGGCTGCCTGCCCTGTTTCTGTATGGGGGTCACCCAGCAATGTACCAGCTCCAGCTACCACCGAGAACTGGTCAGACTATGACACCATATTGTCATGTGTTATGTGATAAGTTGTGTTCTTAGTACACGCGTGCTGAGTATTTATAATGTACAGATGTTGCGTGTGCTGAGTCATAGACATGTTCCTTTTTTTTTTTTTCTTCCATTCCAGATCACCAGCCCATTCCTACCTGGAAATTTCCAGAACTTTGCCCTGGTGAACCGCCAGCGCAGCACCCGTATCACAACAGGATTCACAGTGGAGATGTCCATTCATGGGCCGCAACTCTCCTACCGCCAATTTGACCAGCTGGGCCAGGAGTCCTTCTACTGGCAGCTACCAGAGAACTACCAGGGGGATAAGGTAACCCACCATGGGCAGGGATCGCCCTGAGGAGTGTACAGGGATCCACCTCAGATCACTGCAGTAACCGGAGTGTGTGTGGTAGCACCAAATGGAAACATGTTCTTCTCGGCAGTCAGTAGTGTGTCTCCATGACGCCAAGAATGGCCAATAAAATTCAATTGTCATTAGCCGTGAGGGAAGTTTAGGATAAAGGGAGAAAACCTTCTGTGCCGAGCATGTGTGTCCATGTGTCTGGACAGGCTGCATGGGGCTATGCTGAGACGATGATGATGGTGATGATGACACAAGTCAGGTGTGATTATCACTAGAAATGACCTCAATATTGACCATCCTAGAAGTGTCTGATCATACTGATCAATAGGGAAGGTGGGAGGGGCCAAGCTAACCAGGAACCTAGTATTTCAGCTGCCTTTGCCTCCAAATCTGCAGAGCAGATGGTGACCATGGTATAGCAGATGGTGACCATGGTATAACAGATGGTGACCAGGGTATAGCAGATGGTGACCATGGTATAGCAGATGGTGACCATGGCATAGCAGATGGTGACCATGGTATAGCAGATGGTGACCATGGTATAACAGATGGTGACCAGGGTATAGCAGATGGTGACCATGGTATAGCAGATGGTGACCATAGTATAGCAGATCAGATGGACCCATGGTAGAGCAGATGGACCCATGGTAGAGCAGATGGACCCATGGTAAAGCAGATGGTGATCATGGTATAGCAGATGGGGACCCATGGTATAGCAGATGGTGACCATGGTATAGCAGATGGTGACCATGGTATAGCAGATGGTGACCATAGTATAGCAGATCAGATGGACCCATGGTAGAGCAGATGGACCCATGGTAGAGCAGATGGTGACCATGGTATAGTAGATGGTGACCATGGTATAGCAGATCAGATGGACCCATGGTAGAGCAGATGGACCCATGGTAGAGCAGATGGACCCATGGTAGATCAGATGGACCCATGGTAGATCAGATGGACCCATGGTAGATCAGATGGACCCATGGTAGATCAGATGGACCCATGGTAGAGCAGATGGACCCATGGTAGAGCAGATGGACCCATGGTAGAGCAGATGGACCCATGGTAGATCAGATGGACCCATGGTAGATCAGATGGACCCATGGTAGATCAGATGGACCCATGGTAGATCAGATGGACCCATGGTAGATCAGATGGACCCATGGTAGATCAGATGGACCCATGGTAGATCAGATGGACCCATGGTAGATCAGATGGACCCATGGTAGAGCAGATGGACCCATGGTAGAGCAGATGGACCCATGGTAGAGCAGATGGACCCATGGTAGATCAGATGGACCCATGGTAGATCAGATGGACCCATGGTAGATCAGATGGACCCATGGTAGATCAGATGGACCCATGGTAGATCAGATGGACCCATGGTAGATCAGATGGACCCATGGTAGATCAGATGGACCCATGGTAGATCAGATGGACCCATGGTAGATCAGATGGACCCATGGTAGATCAGATGGACCCATGGTAGAGCAGATGGACCCATGGTAGAGCAGATGGACCCATGGTAGAGCAGATGGACCCATGGTAGATCAGATGGACCCATGGTAGATCAGATGGACCCATGGTAGATCAGATGGACCCATGGTAGATCAGATGGACCCATGGTAGAGCAGATGGACCCATGGTAGAGCAGATGGACCCATGGTAGAGCAGATGGACCCATGGTAGAGCAGATGGACCCATGGTAGATCAGATGGACCCATGGTAGATCAGATGGACCCATGGTAGATCAGATGGACCCATGGTAGATCAGATGGACCCATGGTAGATCAGATGGACCCATGGTAGATCAGATGGACCCATGGTAGAGCAGATGGGGACAATGGTATAGTACATTGCTGGGGTTTGTGATCGGTTCGCTGTATTATGTACATTAGATTTCTGTTTGGGATGTGAAGTGAATATAGAGCAGAGAGCACAATATGTCTCTGGTATGAAGAAATACCGAGCAATGTACCGGCCTCAACGGATCTCCTGGTAACACTGCAGTTTTCATGCTATCACTGACTGCTCCATGTCTAACTTTGACGTTGTCTACTTTTCACACTTTTATCTCTTTCTGTTGTCGCTCTGCCCTGCAGCGGGAGACGTACTTTGCACGGATGCGTCGGGCCCACAAGGTAGTGTGTGCATTGTATGGATGTGTGCTGACGGCTTTGTTCATTGCAGTGACGGCTTAACGAGCTCCTAACATTGCGGTTTTGGAAGTTTGGTATTGTTACTACATGGAAAGTTCAGCTGGATGTAACTCTTCCCAGATCCCCATTGTGGCTGAAATGGCCATCTTTGTACTCGGCAGCTGTAACTGAGAGTGGCTTGCTTACTGGTGTCATAGGACATGACAAGGCCAAGGCTTGTGACTTGTACTCTACACCCCATCCCTGGTGTGACCTTGTCCTATCTCCAGCATGCTGAGTGCCATTTGTTGGTCACCTCATCCTATCAGTTCAGCATGGTGAGTGCCATTTGTTGGTCACGTCGTCCTATCAGTTCAGCATGCTGAGTGCCATTTGTTGGTCACCTCGTCCTATCAGTGCAGCATGGTGAGTGCCAGTATATGGTCACCTCGTCCTATCAGTGCAGCATGGTGAGTGCTGTTTGTTGGTCACCTCGTCCTATCAGTGCAGCATGCTGAGTGCCATTTGTTGGTCACCTCGTCCTATCAGTTCAGCATGGTGAGTGCCAGTATATGGTCACCTCGTCCTATCAGTGCAGCATGCTGAGTGCCATTTGTTGGTCACCTCGTCCTATCAGTTCAGCATGCTGAGTGCCATTTGTTGGTCACCTCGTCCTATCAGTTCAGCATGGTGAGTGCCAGTATATGGTCACCTCGTCCTATCAGTGCAGCATGGTGAGTGCCAGTATATGGTCACCTCGTCCTATCAGTGCAGCATGGTGAGTGCCAGTATATGGTCACCTCGTCCTATCAGTGCAGCATGGTGAGTGTCATTAGTTGGTCACCTTGTCCTATCGGTTCAGCATGCTGAGTGTCATTAGTTGGTCACCTTGTCCTATCAGTTCAGCATGCTGAGTGCCATTAGAAGCAGATACATAAATTGCTCTCATACATCCAGCTGAATGACTCGTCACTGACAGAAGAGGAAATGCGTAAGAGAGTCGCTGCTGGAGACCTACAGGAACGTTTCAGCCCTCGTTCCAGATCCCGGCGCCAGGCCCAGGTACATGATTGGCCAATTCCTCCTACACCATGTCCCCACCTCATAGTCCTACAAGCAAGCAGAACCACTGACCTGACCCAGAGCAGACATGATGTTCTCCAATATCATTTATGATTTCCGTTTCTGTGTATCCCACTTGTATTCCTATAGTCCCTTTTCTTCCCTTCTCTTCTCTTCCCTTCTCTTCTCTTCCCTTCTCTTCCCTTATCATCCCTTCTCTTCTCTTACCTTCTCTTCTCTTCCCTTCTCTTCCGTTCTCTTCTCTTCCCTTCTCTTCTCTTCCGTTCTCTTCCCTTCTCTTACCTTCTCTTCTATTCCCTTCTCTTCTCTTCCCTTCTCTTCCCTTCTCTTTCCTTCTCTTCCCTTCTCTTCTCTTCCCTTATCTTCCGTTCTCTTCCCTTCTTCTCTTCCCTTATCATCCCTTCTCTTCCCTTCTCTTCCCTTCTCTTCCCTTCTCTTCCCTTCTCTTCCCTTCTCTTCTCTTCTCTTCTCTTCCCTTCTCTTCTCTTCTCTTCTCTTCTCTTCCCTTCTCTTCCCTTCCCTTCTCTTCCCTTCCCTTCCCTTCTCTTCCCTTCTCTTCCCTTCCCTTCTCTTCCCTTCTCTTCCCTTGCCTTCTCTTCCCTTCTCTTCCCTTCTCTTCCCTTGCCTTCTCTTCCATTCTCTTCCCTTCTCTTCTCTTCCCTTCTCTTCCCTTCCCTTCTCTTCTCTTCCCGTTTCCCTTTTCTTCCCTTCTCTTCCCTTCCCTTCTCTTCCCTTCTCTCCTCTTCCCTTCTCTTCCCTTCTCTTCCCTACTGTTCCCTTCTATTCCCTTCCCTTCCCTTCTCTTCCCTACTGTTCCCTTCTCTTCCCTTCCCTTCTCTTCCCTCCTCCTCCTTCTCTGATTTCTGCCTCCTTTCATTCTTGTGTCCTTCTCTTCTTGTCTCTCCTTCTCCACAATGGAACTCGTCTTCAGAAGGATAAGAGCCAGGAAGAGACTGACAATGACATTTGGAGCCTCTTGTCAAGTTTTTCTTCTAGTGGTTCCCATCAGCCCCCGACCTCTCTCCTCCCTGACAGTCACAATGTGTCTGAAGGAGGTTCTCCTCCTTCTTCATCCTTACACGGAGCTCCAGGTCCATCTCCTTCTTCTCATCAAACACAACAGAAAGCAAAGTCCAGGTCAGCCAGTCGTACCTTTCCACCGGTCGGGGCCCCTGGCCACTCACCCAGGAGAACAATGGATGAGGTATTGTGCTTCCCGCTCGCCTAGCATGATGTCATTGGTTTGGTGGATGTTGTCGGTATCTGAGTCCTGGATAACAGACTTGGTTTTGTGTTCTGTGGTCCCTCCGGCCTGTGTCTAGGCTGAGATTGTTTGATTGCTCACATTTCAGGGTTTGTGGGTTCAGCCTTGTGTTGGGCTGTGTGGTCATTACCAGATACCCCCATAATGCTTTATTTCAATACCTCAAGGCTCTAAGCGGAGATTCCCCTCGGTCATCCGGTCAGGATTCCTCCAACGTCCTCTATTCTCGCTCTCCGGGATTACGAGGGGCTGAGAAGGTATTTACAGAGCTTGGTGCGTGTGCGTGTTCCTTGCATGAGGTCTGCATGTCATATAGAGTTCATCTACAGGATGTAGAATTCTGGCTTGCAGTGCTGGGGACCTGGTTTCATTACTCAGCGGGGACACTTGCTGCGTAAAGGTTGTTTTCTTTCAATGTTTGGAAGGGTTTGGGATAATGAGTCCCTCGGACAGTTGAAGACACTTATTATTACACAGGGAGATGTGTGAGTGGTAAACCGTTACATACATATTCCTCCCTTGCCTGCTGCTGGTTGGTGTTGGACTCTGTCAGGATTTGGTCTCATTTTACTTCTTTCTGCTCGGGAACGCTGCTTTGCTGTATGTTGTTCTCTCCTAATCTTCTGTATTCTCCCTTTTATTGACTCTTCTTTTTTCAGTTCACTCTGATCTACAAGGGCTTCTCTCTGTTACCTGAGGGGGTTTTCTACTGGTCCTTACCTAAAGCTTTCCTTGGGGATAAGGTAATGGAATACAAGACTCTAAAGTATCATGGATTGGTCAAGATGGTTCCATGGCTTTGACTGGTCCTCTCCCACTGATGAACCCATCCTTACCCATTGGTGAAATGGTTCTAAGCCATGGGTAACCTGGTCCTCGGCCATGGGTAACCTGCTCCTCAGCCATGGGTAACCTGCTCCTCAGCCATTGGTAACCTGCTCCTCAGCCATGGGTAACCTGCTCCTCAGCCATGGGTAACCTGCTCCTCAGCCATTGGTAACCTGCTCCTCAGCCATGGGTAACCTGCTCCTCAGCCATGGGTAACCTGCTCCTCAGCCATGGGTAACCTGCTCCTCAGCCATGGGTAACCTGCTCCTCAGCCATGGGTAACCTGCTCCTCAGCCATGGGTAACCTGCTCCTCAGCCATTGGTAACCTGCTCCTCAGCCATGGGTAACCTGCTCCTCAGCCATGGGTAACCTGCTCCTCAGCCATTGGTAACCTGCTCCTCAGCCATGGGTAACCTGCTCCTCAGCCATGGGTAACCTGCTCCTCAGCCATGGGTAACCTGCTCCTCAGCCATGGGTAACCTGCTCCTCAGCCATGGGTAACCTGCTCCTCAGCCATGGGTAACCTGCTCCTCAGCCATGGGTAACCTGCTCCTCAGCCATGGGTAACCTGCTCCTCAGCCATTGGTAACCTGCTCCTCAGCCATTGGTAACCTGCTCCTCCACAATTAGTGAATTGGTCCTCACCCTTTAATTAACTGGTCCTCAGCCATGGGTAACCTGGTCCTCAGCAATTAGTGAACTGATCCTCACCTATTGGTCCTCACCCTTTGATCAACTGGTCCTCACCTATAGGTGAACTGGGCCTCACCCATTGGTAAAATGGTCAGCCTTGGTGAATTGATCTTCAACTATTGGTCCACACTTATTGGAGAACTGGTCCTTAGCCAATGGTGAACTGTTCTTATGGAAATTGTCTGTTAGCTGCTCCTTCCTGGTCAGGCTCACAGGGCCGTTTGTATTCTATCAGGAAAAGCTTCTTCTGCTGATTTGATGATAAAATAAGTAACTAATCAGCTAGGATTTGACTGGAATACTTCGAGAAGGTCTACGATATATATGGCTATAGTCACAGAGAGAGTTCCGAGTATACAGATAGTCACAGTAGACAAAGTATGATCTCAATATAGAAGTGTAGATGTTATGGTAGAGTTCAGGTACAAGTCAGTCCAATGTGTAGCAGATGGTGTCACTGCCCAGGAACAATTCAGACCATCTCCACCCAAAGAATTATAAAAATGGTGCAAGGCGCCTGTAGTACACCTGACTGCACACTCTCCTCCCTCCCGGAGAAGTCATGTCTCTGGAGACCACTTCCTGGTACTGATGCCTAAACATATATAGATTCCATTGATATCTGCAAACATGAATAGAAGGGTATGCTGGTGCTCGTAGTTGTGTAGGTTCTCTGATCATCTTTCACCGATAGTGACACTGTGTCATTTGAATGTTTCAGGTGGCGTCGTACGGTGGCACCCTGCGCTACACGCTCAGCTACACGGCTGGAATTCGCGGCTCTCCGCTGCCCGATGCAGATGTTCAGATCATGGTATGATGAGCCAGTGATTAGGACGGGGAGTTATGTGGCTTCTCTTTGTGTCATTGTTCCAGGTGACGATACCGGGGACTGAGCACAATGGCGGCTTTCTTTAGATGTTGAGGGTGGATTTCCCTTTTTGTCCCCCTCATAAAATGGGAGACTTCCTCGTTGTGCACCCAGCGCCCACCTCCTATCCCCTCAAATATCAGATATATCTTCAAAATAGAAAGCGTCCTTCCCGGCCATTAGATCCAACTGTACACTGAGCTTTGCAATTGTCTGACAATGGGGGCCTGAGGGTGCGCATGGAGTGACTTCCCCACAAAGACTCTCGAGGAACCAACACCCGTTGTCATTAGTCATTTCTCAGGGTTCATCTCAGCAGAGACCCAACAAATATCATACAACATTCTTTCTGCCCGGCAGGGAAATGACATCACACTGGTTGCCTACCAGACTGAGCTGCGCCCTCGTGACATCAAGACCTTCGAGATCGCCTTCCGGGAGGTGAGGGACTTTGACTTCTCTGTGCGCTTTATCACAGACGTGAAGGAAATTCCGAGTACCAAGGAGCTCACCTGTTCCTCTAACCTTTCTCCGTCATCTCCTTTCAGAGTCAGTGGAAGCGTCCAGATGGGCAGCAGGCCACCCGAGAACATTTGTTGATGGCTCTGGCTGATCTCGATGAAATTCTTATCCGAGCCTCGTATTCCACCGACATGTTGTCCGCTAGTATCAGTGGTGTGAGTATGGAGACTGCCGGACCATCGTATACCAGCCTGCCGCAGGCTTTGGAGGTGGAGGAATGCCGCTGTCCTCCTGGGTACAAAGGCCTGTCCTGCCAGGTGAGACGGGTTGGGTTGGGTCTGAACGTTCTCCTGTTTTGTACACATTCTGCTTGTTGCCCCAACGTCCGCCGTGTCTGACCACCGACGCAGATATATATTACTATATGTACCATATGCTGTAGTTGGAACTCTTCTTTAAGCAAATGTTCCTTCTTGCCTTTCGGAGGGTCGTCACTTCCATCCCAACATTCTGGGAAAGTCCATGTCCAGTAAGTCCACCAATGACCACAAGGCCCAGAGAAAAGTAATCATCCATATTGCTGAGTACTTACCCCTACAGCCTTCTACTGCTAGCTGGGACTCGGCAATGCCATGTCTGTACTCCCTGAACCCCATTATAAATATGCTGCCTGTTCCAGGAGACCCCCATCTGATGCTCACCCGCACTTTCCTCAATCATTTCTGGTCATTGGACTTTTCCCTGTTGTCATCTGGCGATGTTCCACAGTGGGGTAACCACTCTCTCTTTCTGTGGCAGGACTGCGCCCCTGGATACACACGCACCGGAGGGGGTCTGTACCTCGGCCACTGTGAGCCCTGTGACTGCAATGGTCACTCCGAGACTTGCCACCCGGAGACTGGAGCTTGTACGGTGAGTGTGTACCATGTATGATACTATCCGGACTGCCCGTCCTTTATATACACATGTATCTTGTATGTAATGTATGCATTGCCTCTACCACACCATGTGCACACACGGGACGTACACACACAGTTGAGGTCAGTTGTCTCCCAAACACACAAAACCTCATTTATTAAAGTCTCTGAAATGAGAAATGTCCCTTTTCTTCCCATCGGCCAATCGGATTCCATCCCATAGTTGTAGTTCTATGTCTCTGTGTGACCTCCTGGTAAGGCTCATCCAGTCCATGTTCTGCCCGCTCCATCATGAAGTGTGAAACGTATTGACCGCTTTCATGTCTCTTGTGACTTAGAACTGTTTACATAACACGGGCGGAGAGTTCTGCGACAAGTGCGCGCCCGGCTTCTATGGCGATGCCTCGGCCGGAACTCCTGAGGACTGCCAACCTTGTGCGTGCCCGCTGACTGACCCAGAGAACCAGTAAGTGTCCTCAATCCATGGCGGAGACACAGCGTGAGGAAATCTTCTCTCCCAAGCGTTGCCCTGATCTCCGTCATTGTTCTGGGTGTATGTTGTGTTACATTTGTATTGTTCGGTTCTCTCTGCCCCCTCGTCTGGGTGTCCCTGTGACCAGCTTGGTTCCTCCAGAAGAGGCAGAGATGGTGACCTGCGGGGTGACCTCAGTGGGAACGAATCAGATGGCTGCGATTTACACACTTCCTTTTCCGATACAATCCATGTGAATAATTCTGCGCAGAGACATAACTCCGTGTATGAAATATAATAACAATTAGAAGTCGGAATATTCTCACTGGAATCTTCCATTTCTTGTATTTCTCTCTCTGCCGCCGTAATACAACGATGGAAACCCGCAGGAAGAGCCATAACAAAGCACAGAATAGCGGCCACCTCAATGTCTGACCCGTACCTAGCTCCTCCACCACCGAGACCCCCCACAGGAAGCTTCCCCAAAATACTTGGATCCTGAGTGCCATCATGTGGAACTTTCTCAGATGCTTGTAGATATTCCTGTGATGGATCCTGCTGGTGGGGAGTGAGGCGGAGATAGGAACAGATCCCATATAATGCCTTCCATGGAGTAGGTCCTGTATGGTGCCTTCCATGGAGCAGATCCCACATGGTAACTTTCATTGAGCATGTCCTGTATGGTACATTCCATGGAGGAGAACCTGTATAGTACCTTTTATTAAGTAGATGCCATATGGTTCCTTCCATAGAGTAGATCCCACCAGCTTTCCATGGAGCAGACTCTGTATGGTAACTTTTATGGAGCAGATCCCGTATGGTACTTTCCATGGAGCAGATCCTGTATGGCATCTTCCATGTAGCACACCCCTCTATGGCACCTTCCATGGAGCAGATCCTGTATGGCATCTTCCATGTAGCAGACCCCTGTATGGCACCTTCCATGGAGCAGATCCTGTATGGCACCTTCCATGGAGCAGACGCTGTATGGTACCTTCCATGGAGCTGATCCTGTATGGCACCTTCCATGGAGCAGACGCTGTATGGTACCTTCCATGGAGCAGATCCTGTATGGTACCTTCCATGGAGCAGATCCTGTATGGTACCTTCCATGGAGCAGATCCTGTATGGTACTTTCCATGGAGCAGATCCTGTATGGCACCTTCCATGGAGCAGACCCTATATGGTACCTTCAATGGAGCAGACCCTGTATGGTACTTTCCATGGAGCAGATCCTGTATGGTATCTTCCATGGAGCAGACCCTGTATGGTACCTTCCATGGAGCAGACCCTGTATGGTACCTTCCATGGAGCAGACCCTGTATGGTACCTTCCATGTAGCAGTCCCTGTATGGTACCTTCCATGGAGCAGATCCTGTATGGTACCTTCCATGGAGCAGATCCTGTATGGTACCTTCCATGGAGCAGATCCTGTATGGTACTTTCCATGGAGCAGATCCTGTATGGCACCTTCCATGGAGCAGACCCTATATGGTACCTTCAATGGAGCAGACCCTGTATGGTACTTTCCATGGAGCAGATCCTGTATGGTATCTTCCATGGAGCAGACCCTGTATGGTACCTTCCATGGAGCAGACCCTGTATGGTACCTTCCATGGAGCAGACCCTGTATGGTACCTTCCATGTAGCAGTCCCTGTATGGTATCTTCCATGGAGCAGATCCTGTATGGTATCTTCCATGGAGCAGACCCTGTATGGTACCTTCCATGGAGCAGACCCTGTATGGTACCTTCCATGTAGCAGACCCTGTATGGTATCTTCCAGGTAGCAGACCCTGCATGGTACCTTCCATGTAGCAGACCCTGTATGGTACCCTCCATGGAGCAGACCCTGCATGGTACCTTCCATGGAGCAGACCCTGTATGGTACCTTCGATGGAGCAGATCCCGTATGGTACCTTCCACGAAGCAGACCCTGTATGGTACCTTCCATGTAGCAGACCCTGTATGGTACCTTCCATGGAGCAGACCCCGTATGGTACCTTCCATGGAGCAGACCCCGTATGGTACCTTCCATGGAGTGATGTTTTGATACAAGTTCATTTGATGTATTGTAAATCTCTATATGTGGAAAGATGAAGCATTGTAGTCGGAGCGGACTCAGACTTTGATGGCAGACGTGTATCCCGATGTCCCTCTGTGATTTGTTTCAGGTTTTCTAAGACATGTGAGACGATGGGTACAGGGGGGTACCGCTGCACTTCCTGCCCTCCGGAATACGTGGGACAGTACTGTGAGAGGTGAGCCGGAGCACTCCGTGTCATTGTGTTGTTGGTAAATAATTGGTACTCGGGTGGGTAGTTCAGGTTACTTCCAGGTTTTGGTCTCGGAGAAGTCCAATGGTCACCTGACTTCCATGTATCTAGAAGAGGGGCCAGCCACCTTTATACATTAGGTGTCATATGACCGGTGCCGGAGAACAATGGCACTGGCAGGTCATGTGTTCCGGGGCAGCGCTAGGGATTGATTTTCGGGATATCTCCGGTTGTCTGACAATTTGTGTCCTCTGCCCTTCCGTCTCATAGATGTGCTCCTGGCTACACGGGGAGCCCCAACATCCGAGGACAGAAATGTCTTCCTGACGGTGAGTTCCGTGTGACGGGAGATCTGGTTCGTGTTCTGTGCGCGGTCGCGGTCACTGACGCTTCTTCTCTCCGCCATCTTTCAGACCGAAGATCTTCTTTTGTGGTCAGAATTCATCCCGACAAGAAGACGGCTGCGGTGGGTGAGAAGGTGACCCTGCACTGCCAGGGCACCGGAGATCCTCCTCACTACTACTTCTGGACACGAGAAGATGGGCGACCTCTTCCCAGCACCACCCAACTGATAGACAGAGGTAAGCAACATGGCCGCCGGGGGCCCCCCGAGGACTCCCCGGTACAAATGTATTGGGTGTCCCCTGGTGTGCTGGTACAGTGATATGAAAGCTCTTTATGGCACCCGACCGATGTCTCCTCAGCCCAGGCCGGGGGAGGGAGATGGAAGGAAAATGGCAGCAGTTTGTAACTATAGAGGGGCGTGCATGTGAGGGGGGCGTGCATGTGGGGGGCGTGCATGTCGGGGGTCGTCAGTTGCACGGCACATAACACGTCCCAATAGACAACCCCGCCTACTATCATTAGGAAGCCTCCAGTCAGTGCCGGCTTCCTCTCTATTGACTCTGAACCCCGGAATGTAGCTGACGGTTGATGTGCTGGGTGTCCCTCCAAGGCGGGCTGAAATACGAGGCTGTCGGAGGTCAGGATGTGTGTGTGAGCAGCTAGTCATGTCTGTATCCTGTGTCTCTTTCAGGAGAGAGCTTACATTTCCCCAGCGTTCAGACTTCGGATTCCGGCGTCTACATCTGCACCTGCCGCAACTACCAATTCGCCAACACCAGCCGGGCGGAGGTCACCGTGCAAGGTGAATGTTCTCATCATGGGTGACCTCGGGTAGGAGCAGGTCATTGTACTGTGGTAGAGGGGATGATGGGAGTGATCACCGAGAGGAGGAGGAAGAAGAATCCGCATCATCTCCATACATCACATGGATTCTTCAAGTGCAGCTCCACTCCAAACTTTTGTTCTGGATAGGGGGGGGGGGGTAGAAGCTCTGCTGGCTCTCTGTCCCCG